AGCCTGCTCGCAGGCTAAGTGGCAAAGCTCAATTGCGACTTTCAATTCTCTTTGGTTTCTGTTATATTTATGTCGATGAAAAAAAAAAAAAAGAATTCCGTGGAGTAAGCGGGTGTCTAGTCATCAAATGTAAAGACTTTCACACAATTTTCACGAATAGACTTCCGGTAGACAACTAGATGTGTATTGGACAACCCTCCTCGAACGGAGGCTTGAGTGAACAGAAGAGCAATGCCGGTTGCTTGTGTTACAGTCGAGGCGTTTCAATCCAAGTTTTTTGAGATCTTAACTCAGTAAGAAGCCATTATTGCTTGAGTTCAGTTGTTTATCTATGTCGAGTGGAATGTCAAGTGACTGTAGAATAAATTATGATACAGTGTTCGTGTACTATCAGTGACTAAATACAGTTACGAGTGTCAATTCTTTTTCGCTTCTGCTCAGTTGTGCTCTTTTCCTCTTTTGCAGTTTTCCTTTTTTCTCTGTAGCGCGTCTAAGTTTATCAAGATGTTGTTAAAAACCGAAAGGTTTAGACAATACCCTCCCCTGATTTTATCCAATTTCGAAAGTAAAACTAATTATTAAGTCACGATGCAAAATATTGTAGTTCATTGCTGTATGTGATATTTAGCCGAATCATTCTTCATTTGAATTTTGAATTTTCTGTTCCTTACCAAGGGCTGACATAATAATTTATTTCCACACTCTAGATAAAGATATGATCCAACTAAGGAATAAGAAAACCAGGATTCCCTCCTCAGACATTCGGATGTTGAGCACTTTGAATTTATTCCTGCCCCAGGCTTGGAAATGACAGCTCAGAAGAGAACTTAATTAATGAAGAACTGTAGTTGGAGCTAAATTATGCGTCAAAACAATTTGATAAGAATGAGGGGGTTATCCCTTACAAATATTCTAATTCTCGTCAAATATTTAAGGTCTGAACAGCTGGCCACACCAAGACAGTTGAAACTGGCTTCATGAAGGTGATCTTCTTCCTATATGATCCTGACAAGTATTCCATTTATCTTTTAAACGCGTATATTTTCTCTCAGGATTCCGCCAGACAGTCATCAAAGAGCTACGAGTTGAAAACGTACAAGCCTTAAAGTGGCACTGCTGCATGATATGTACATTGCTTAGAATACAAGGCGGCACTAAACTTTACGTGATATCAAAAATCTGGTTTAGATATCTCTTAACCTGTTTCCAGAGGGTCATTTGAAATAATTTTTTTTTCATTTTTTTTACCGTATGTTATTGTGGATGGTGCGATTCCAAGCTCAATTGAGCGAACAGAATAGCAATCATTTAATCCACTTTTTTTATTTCTGTGAATTTTTCCTTATATGTGTTACAAATAAGACAGACAGGCAGACAGGCAATTTATTTTAACACGGTATCGCTTCGATTACAAAGAATTGGTTTCCAAGAAAGCCGTGCTAAGAAATTACTAAAAACAATACAATTGCAAAATTTCATGATAGAAGAGAATTACTATTGTTAATTGCTATTATGGAGACTGACTGTGCCAAGAGATTTGCGAAATGACTTAAGAGACTGTTCTGCTTTCATCGCATTAAGAAGAGAACTCCGTAGTCTAGCACCACGATATGAAAAACTCTTTTTCAAGTTTTCAGTTTTGGGTGAGACTGTTCTGCTTTCATCGCATTTGGAAGAGAACTCCTTTTTATTTAATTAGCACCAGGATAAGAAAAACTCTTTTTCAAGCTTTCAGTTTTGGGTTTCTGCTGTGCTAAATTGTAGCTACAGTCTTTGAGATGGTAAGCAGTGCTGTCTCGAATCAGGCTAAAGACCTCAGTAAGGTACTCAGCAGCTTTGGTATGCATAATTTTATGTATTGTGATTGCATTATGATGTTGACGTCGAACTCCAAGAGTATCCCACTGAAGCATTCTCAAAATATCCGCAGATCTAATTTCCCAGTCACTTTGAGTGATTATCCGACCTGCCCGATTGTAGATTTTATCAAGTCTGTCTGACAGGCCCTCGTTTAGACCCGATCAGACAACATAACAGTAATCGAGGTAGGGAAGAACAAACGATTTAAAAATTTTAATTAAGACCTCTTTCGGGACAAAAGGTCTAACCAGTTGGTTTTAATCCAGCAATGCCTGAAGATAACTTCTGAGCAATATGGTCAATGTGATTCGACCACGATAGATGCTCGTCAATATGAACGCCTAAAGATTTGGCTGTGTTAACTCTCTTTATCGGATCATCACCCAGTTTTATTCAGAGGGGAAACGTCAGTTGGGCTACATTTAAACTTAACTTGTTGGCAATAAGCCAGTGCCCAGGAACAAAATTACTACGCTCCGTCCTACATTGAAGGGCCATACCCATGTGAAGGAAGGTGTGCCAGTTTTTCTGGCTGTTTCTTGATCTTGTGATTCTCTCAAATACAATGTTACATGAAGTAATAGAAAGGTAGAATTTATAATAGACATTAGAAGCCATCAACGGTTCAATGAACTTTGAAATATTGAACGAGCTGTTTATTACAATCTTGTTTACTTACCACTATTATCAATGACTTAGTTTGCTGATTAACCAGTAGTTTATTTATCTCGACTTTGTTGCAACGCATGATACAATGTTAGATACGATGGGGCAGCGATATCGGACAAGAAAACCAAGGTTCTCACCTCAGACATGACATTGTGATGTTCAGCGTTTTGCATTTATTTCTGCCCCAGGCTTGGCAATGACAGGATGAAAACAATTTGGGGCTTACCCCTGTAAATATTTTAATTATTTTAAGAATACTTAAAGTGGTACTATGATCAAATTTTTCCCCCCTCATTTTTTAGGTGTATCACATAGAATTCCATGAAAGAATGAAAACGCTGTTTACCGTTTGCAAATATCTGCATTAGTTCTGGAGATATTTAATTTTGAAAAATGTGTAAAATGTGCAAATGAGATGACTGATGACGTCATACACTCAACCCAATTTTATATCAAGTATATAAACAGTCCGGAGTATCCCGATAAATTAGGACAGTCATGACGTCATGAAGCTATTGTTAGCAGGGAAAATGGCGGACTTTTTATGCGGACCAAGAAAATATGTTGTTTCCAGTCTCGCATAGAGTCTGGCCAGCATTATCCAGAATTATTTGCGACCAAACGTTGAGAAGAGAATAAGCGGCCATTTTGGTAGTGGGAGAACGTTGACCGTCTTCTAATCATTGAGTTTTTTTGGTGTCAAGCGACGATGTAGACGCGATTTTGTGGCCAAATATCAAGGTTAGTAAAGTGCACGCGTTATTTTCTAGTATTCACGTATTTTTCATTGAGCTGTGTGTATTTTTTACTGGTTCTAGTGTTGTTAAAGTTTCATCATGCCAAATTACACGGTTGTAAACAACGTCGACATTTTGTAAACACTCTTTGAATTTGAGGCGTTACAAGTGTACCTGAACCGCTGTTGTTATAAGGCTTGAGTAATGCATCGGTCCTTCATTTTTATGACAGTTGTTTTCAATTTCTCTCTCTTAAGTACATGGAACAGCATACTCGACTGCTCGAGGCACTTTGCCGAATTTTGGGGGAAAAAACAAACGGAAAAGAGAGGAAATAAGACGTCGCTAAGTACGCGGACGAAATTAAACAAATTTGGGAGGTCTCTGTTTTGGTCGATTCACCGAATGTGCACCCCAGTTTTATCGCTGGAGAGCCAGCAGCCTGTTGAAAACCACCTACAGCACAGAAGTGGCAGCGAAACAGACAGGCCAGGGGTAGTGCAGTGCTTCCCTGTAAATGGATGCTATCAGTATCCCAACATGGATAGTAAAGAGACCTTCTACTATCCATGATCCCAAGGAATGGCACAAAGGGTAGAGAGATTGTTTGTGCTCATTTACCAGACGTTGAGGGCCATTCAAACATGTAAGTTAAGGTTTGTAGGGGGCATTGTACTCTTTTTTTTTTTTTTTGGCATTTTTTAAAAAC